AGCCAGAACCGCTGAAAATGTCCAGTGTGTCCTGCACTCATCCAGCACTTTGTACAACCAAGACCTAGAAAACACAACACGCAAGGGCATCTTCTGGTGCAGAACAGCTCACACCGACACCGAAGATCCACAGATGGATAATTATAACACCTACACAACAAACTGGGATACTCAAAGTAAATAAAAGCCCTTTCCACCACGGTAAGCGAGCACAAATCTCCATACAAACTCCTGCCACCTCCACCAACTGCAGTGGGAGGACCTTCACGCTTACGACAAGGACGTGTGCCCAGTCCAACGGTGTAGACTTCTAATGCACCGCCTTAATAACTGTTTCTCCTATCATTTTTATCTTATTATCTGCTAAAGAATATCATGCCCTCGTTTGTCTACACTGACTCCCTCAGAGAAGGAGCGAGGAGAGGAGAGGAGAGGACAGCCTAGGGTGGACCTCACCACCCCCGTGGCAGCTCGCCCAGCTCTGTGTGGGCTGGGACTCCTGGTTTTCATTGGGGTTTGGTGGTTTTTGGATTGCATTTCTGCGATTTTGCTGGTGGTGGCTTGGAGGCAGTGGTGTTTGTATTACGAATGTCCTTCTGACAGCAGAAAGGGACTTTGGAAGGGGAAGGTCTCGGCGCTTCCTACTAACTTGGGATTTCTCTGATCTCCTCTTAGAGCAAGTTCCAAGCTGGGTCTGCTGGACGTGGGGACCCTGAACTCGCACCCCTCTGCAGGGGAGGAGGCCCGGAGAGGGAAAGACCACAAGCCCGTGCTCAGGGGTGGCCCCCACAAGCGGTAAAACCGGTGAGGTGCCATCAGCTCCGTCGCTCTTGCAAGGGCATAAATATCTGCCCCGGGCGAGCCGCAGCAGGTCGCTGTGCTGCCCGAAGACGTCTCCTTTCTGCCACCTCAGACAAGGGTGACAAAGCTGGTTTGTGCTACAAATGTAAAGAAAATAAATGACTTTGAGCCTGCTGGTTTTGTCTTCATCTAAAAGAATCTGGGAAAATTATTAATCCGTAAAGCTGAGGAGATATTTGCTGCTTAAAAAAGGCGAGAAAAGAAATCAAAACGGCCGGTTTGGCCTCCCTCCTCCCAGGCTAGGCAGCCAGTGCGTGGCTACAGCTGCACACGCACACGTGGGTGGTGCTCAGCTCCGCAGCGCTGTGCGCATCCCAGGCGACTTCCAGCAAGGGCACCAGCGTGCTGCTTCAGCTCTGCGCCCAGACACAGGTGGGCACTGCAGGGGATTCTCCCCCGGTTCGACCAGCTTACAAACAGCCCCACGCCACCACCAAGCAAGCCACGCGAAAAGGGGTGCACGCTGCACCGGAGCTACCCTCGGCTGCCAGGGACACCACCGCCTGACTCATGCTGTCCCGGGTCTGTACAAATCGTGGTCTTGGGGTAGAGAAACCAGAAGAATCACAAGACCGACAACGGACTGCTCAAAAATACGCTGTTAAATTAGCAAGTATCTGACAAAAATTACGGCAACGAAGTCAGCTGGTCCCTGAGCAGTGAAAGTCTTAATGGCAACGTCCGATGCATCGCAGCCTAAGCAGCAGTGCCAAGTTTGAGTCCAATTATTGAATGCATTCAAAGCCCGTTTATGGATTAAGATACATTTGCCTGGATCACTCTCTCACTAAGGACTCCACAGATTTTGAAGAAAGAAATGAAGTTTCTCAGTTCAATCCACATAAAAATTGAAGTATTTGACTGGGAAGAAAGGGAATTTCTAATGGGCTGGGACATTACAAAGTCTGCATTAATATTTATCTGACAGCAGAGTATGACTCTCATGTGAAAGTGCAATGCTCTTTCCCCCTCAAAAAAGCAGCAATAAAATCCCCAAAGGTTCATCCCCATTTTTATCCTTCTGCCCTCATTTTGGTGTTTGCTTCCCAAATCCCTGTGCCTCCTCTTAAAAAAAAAGAAAAACCCTCAGTTGCCAAGGAAACCCAGTGAGCAGGGAACTGGCAGGGTTTAGCACTACTAAAAAGAGCTACGGGAAGCCAGTTAAAGTCACAATTAGAAGTGGGCAGCCTCAGCCACGCCAACGAACAGCCAGAAAGCCTCCGTGCCCACGTCACCGCCGGGCGAGTTCGCACCGCAGCCAGCTTGCCCCGGCTGGTCGCAAGGGAACTGCTCACTGCGACAGAGCCGCACCGTTTGCAAGCGTGCATGGGGTACAACCCTGCCAGTAATTCCTAGTGTTACCTTGTGCTTACCTCCTATTCCTTTTCCTAAAATTAAATGTGCACAGCACAGATCAGCCGGCGTCGCGCAGGGTCCTGAGGGCTACAGCAGGTTTACTGCTACTGAACCCTGAGGACAGGCAGGAAAGCGGGTGCCATCACACGTGCCGCGCAAGCACCAAAAATTGAGAAAAAACGGTGTTAAAGCTGGCATGAACCACTGTCTCCCCAAATCTGCTTGCCATTTTAAGAAAAAGGAATCCAGGCCAAATCTGGTTTCATTTTTCATACTGCTATGGGGTGAGTCCAGCTCCTGAATTTTAAATTACCCTATTAAGATCGTCAGACTTCTCTTTTTCATCCAAGAGGGAGGACCGCTTCTTCCTTTCTCTCCATTTTAATGGTTTTTATAGCAGAGACAAAAGAGGAGCTTCCACACAGAAGAACCTACGGCCTGGGTCTCCGCATCTCCCAGACACGTCATCTACCTAGCGACGGGGCAGGAACCTCCTGGCTTTGACCAGAAACGCCATCCTGCACACCCTCCTCATTTGGTGAGCACCTAGCTTGTTCTCAGGAAAAGATTCTCTTTCAATTAACCAACATTTACTAATTATACAAAAAAGCCCTTCTTAAAAACTTCCCATCCACTTTTAACTTTGACTTTTTTTAATACACAGAGTCCCCAGCTATTGAAAAAGTAGACACTTTAAAACACAGGTAGTTTTTTTTTAATGGAACACAAACCACAGATGCTAATTCCACATAAATGTTGGCCAGTTTCTGCCCAAGCTGCCCGGTACAAAGACAGCTCTGCGGGCAGGAGGGGGCACTTGGCTGAAAACCACTGCACTAGGTTCCATTTCTGTGCCAGCGCTGGACATGAGTGAAGTCTCTATTTGTAAGAAAAAAGCTGAAATAACATGGGCAATGACTAAGAGCTCTATGTCTTAGGTATGAAACTAATAATACTATTTGCAATACGACAAAGAAAACTAGTATCTTGTTTCAAAGTAAAACACTTTTTTTTTTCTCTCTCTTTTAGAAAATCCCACTCTATGGAAGCAAACTACACTTTGAAGTTATAATGTGATAACCACACGTTTTGGAGGCTGAAAACTCCCCCTGATGCTCAGGCGGTCGCTTTACCAAGACGTCCGATTACCAGATTATAAGGCATGGGGAGCAGGGCTAGCCAGCGGCTCCCATGCCCTGCACAGCCCCTGCCGCCTCTGACCTTCCACCTGGGACTTACGAGATTCTCCGGCTCGAAGCCTCATCGGCAGAGCGCAAAGTGAAGCCGCTCCAGAGGCAGGTGGCTGAAAAGCAGCTCTGGCAGCGTTTGAACTGAAGTTGCTCAGGCAGAGAAACCAATCTGATGGTATGTGAAAGGCGGGCGAGAGCAGAGGAGGGAAGGATGCGAGAGAGAGAATTGGAGGAGAGCATGTGAAAGAGGCAGGGGAACGAAGGATGCAAGGAAGGAGACGTTGACGTGGTAAATAAAAAAGGTAAGGAATGAAGGGGGATGTGAAAAAGGAAAAAGGATGGAAGGAAATGAAGAGAAAAAAATGTAAGAGTCATGTAATGTATACCTGACTTACGCATCTCTAGTGTAACTAAGCACAAGCATGCCTCCCCAAGACAGAGAGCAGAATCAGACATCCTCCTGCAAGCACAAGACTCTACCATTTCTCTGTCATAGTAATTAAAAGATCAAAGAAAACCAAAACCACTAAGAACACCTTTGCAACGTTTAAAAAAAAAAAGCAACGGGTCGAGTGATTTTGCTGCACTCCACAGCCTGTATCTCTGTACCAGGACTGTGTGTCCGTCTCCTCTGCACTGTGAGGGCTGTGAACTACATCTTCCAGGTTATCGCACCCGCTGCCGCTCAGGCCGTAAGTGGAAGGCACTCACTTAACACCAACGAAAGAGCCAACGCTACCATTGACCGGCAAACCAAAACTGAACCTCAACTGGAAGGCATAGGAAAAGGCTGCAAGTCCTCACTGGCTCCATCTTTTTTGGACTCCTTTATGCTCCCAGTACTATGTAACGGAGCTCCACAAAAGCCAGAAAAAGTGAAAAAGCGTATGAGTAAATACCATTCAGCACCCTGAGCTGTGCCCCTAGGTAACAGTCCTGCTAGTCTAAAGGTGATGTTTAGTATGTTTTGTAATAGGGAAGCATCGAAGAAATGTAACAGAGCTGACTGCCATTCAGTCCTGGGAAGTGATCCTGCCTTTTCCACAAACCAAAAAAACCCCAGTATTCCGAAGGGAGACTTCATAGTAAGGCCTGGGGTGGTGCTAGTATTTACAGCGGGTTTGAAGGATGGAAGTGGCCTTTAAAAAAAAAAATCCTCTTGTTCACAGCAGCGTGGAAGGAATGTGCTGCTAGAAGAGACCTCTTTGGACGAGACACCAGATTGGCGCCCCAGACTGGCTGGGCCCATGGAAATCTTGAGGCACTCTTTGGAGAAGAGGAATTGCTTCCTCTGTGCAAGCCACATTGTACCTGATGGAAACATATCGTGCATCCTTAGATCACTCTGCCATTGGAAAGGGAGGCAGAGTTATTCTCGTCTCTTCCTCAATTGCTGTGTAATGGTGCCCCGTGTTACTAGCTTAGCACTTCTTTCCACCTCAAAACCGTCAGTACAACATTTCCTATATATGTCAAGCCTATACTGTGAAAAGAAGGAAGATGAAAAACATTCTAATTGGAAAACCATGCTGACTCCTCTCACTTGGGCACTCACTGTTTGCAGGTCACCCACTGCCTGATTTAACTCCTTACCGTAAAGTTGAGTGTCTGCCGGAGCGGGAAACGCTGTTGCCAACTGGCGAGGGTAAATTACTGCCTCTGTGCAGGTCCTCAATAGATCGGCTCCAAGGTTTGGACTTGTCCATCGAGTTTTCCACATTGTTCTCCAAACTTTCAAAGTCAAACCTGAAAGGAAACAGAAATGCCAGCGCCGCGTTAGACAGAAAAGACACACGTAGCATTTTCATTCCTGTTTGACACCTGCAGATTTTAGTAGGTCCCAAAAGATTACAGAAAGAAAGGAAGCAAGCAATGCAGGCTAACTTCCCTTCGGCTGCAATTCAGCGCGAGCTTCAAATGCATAGTGCAGCAAATCCGGACCTTGACAAAGGGAGCAGCTAACCACACCAGCATACAGTTTCAGAAGGATCAGCTACAGTATTATTCTACCTCAACGTAAAATAAATACAACATTGGGTGCTTTGCTGATGATCAGCCCTGCCTTGAAGGAAAGAGGGAGAATGCTTAAAGCTGTCTCCATTTTATTTCAATAAATCGATAGGTTGTGCAAGTACTAATTCACTTTCCTCCATCAATATGTGACCGAGAATTTACACTGGCTTGCTGGCCCTCACAAATCTCCCCGCATATGTAATACATTACCATAATCATTACAGATTTTCTTTGATTTCTGACTCGTTGCCCACTGTACTGCTATTTCAAGCAAAAATTGCTTGTTCCCCTTACAGCTTTTGAGGTTATTACTCATGTTTACCACGTTAGAGAGGGGAAAAACCCAGCAAGCTAACTTGCATACATTTGTATAATTTTAGGAAGAAAGTCTTTATACAAACACTTCTTTTTGCCGTGCACAGTTTTTTCCAGTGTTAGCAACCTTTTGAAACATATCATTTTCCTTCATTAATTTTATTGCAACCCCACCAAAAATCTCTTTTCTGTGCAATGGTACATATACATCTGATGGCATCTTTTCTAAAAATGAAACATCAACTCTACTCAGCTCGAGTTCCTAACTACAACAGTATCTTTAACCTACCGCTTCTTTTTATACAATTTTATACAAAAACCTATTGCTACAATATCCTGAAGTGAAAGCCTGTGGATATACAAAACAAGATCCTCCGCTGAGTATCTATTTCAAACTGTGTGATGTAATGACTACGGAAAGCTGATTTTTTCCCCCCAATTGTTTTAATAAAGTACATTTAATGATTTATTACCTAAATGACTAAATCTGACTCCCAGCTAACCAGATGTCAGAACTGCAAAAGCTCGTTTCGCAGTCTTCCTGACTTGCAAAACCACCTTGAAATTCCCACTCTCGTCTTGCAGCGCAGCTACTGCACGCAATGCCGGCAGCTTTGCTTGCCACGAGCCTCGCGAGAAGCGCTTTGTCTGTGGATGTTGCTTTGAACATGGTAGGCAGCATCAGAATTCCTTGGGGTCAGATGCTAATTGCAAACCTATTTCATGCTTCTACACATTTACTGAATGTTTTTGCGCTGTACCCCGAAGAGGGTCAGAGGCCAAAGCTAAAAAATACGTCAGTACAGTCTTAGAGAGAAATAATCTCAAGGCTTAAACTTAGGCTTCTTTTTTTCTCTGCAACATGTTAAGATTCAATGTTTTTGGATTAAAGTTACCGTTTTCTCTGCTCTAAGGTACACAGGTAGCATTATCCCAAGCTGCTGGCAGGAGAGCTCTGCTAGAGAAGCTGAGCATCTGCCCCAGCACTCCCCTCTCCTGCTCTGCAGAGATGGCCCGAGCCTTGCTTTGCCTCGCAAGCCCCAGAGTACCACGCATGTCTTACTTACGTGACTGCATACTGTGCAAGCATGCCTTACTTACGTGACTGCATACTGTGCAAAGGACAAGTACTCCACCAGAACATCCAGGCCTTTGTTTTCTTCATTCAGGAACTCCCTGACCCATCTGTTAGAAAAACGATTAGACATCAGAGCGTTTCACAGGCTTTGTGCCATTACTGGAATTCTTGTCAGATAAACTAGAGACCGATCCATTGCAGGAAAGGCAGCACTGCTGAGCAAAACTGCGCTTTCTCTTTTTAAAAATGCCCTTTATTATTTACAGGACTTTAAAACAGTCCTTTAGGGGACTTTACAAATGTACTGAAACGAGATTTTTTTGCAGCACTATGACGGAAAAAACATTCCACCACAAAAAAAAAAGCATAAAACCCCTTATGCACACCCTGCGTTGCTCAGAAACTAGACGTTTACTTTTCTAAGTACTGAGCTCCGGCACTGGTAAGCGCCTTTCCCACCGTAGCAGTGCCGCTGCAAGAGGGCCACGGGCGCGCTGGGGAGCTCGGCTGCTGCCCGGCTTCGCTCCAGACCCAGGCTCCTCTCCTCCCTGGCACACGCCGCTGCGCAAGCCGCCGAGCAGTGCTGACAGCCGCTTTCTAACGCGTGAGCCGCAGGGACCTGGCTTATTTTTTTCCACATCCTGATCTCTAGCAGTATTTCAAAAGCATACGGACAGCACACCGGCAAAAGAGTAATAGCACCAAGGGGGAGATCTGACACCCTGGATGCACGTTGAACAGTAATTCTGTCTTCTCTTTTTAAAAGATGTTAACCTATTGCTGTGAAGTTTGGTGCCTGAGAATTATGCAAAATAATCTTCAGAAAAGCCTGTTATTGAATCATAGAATCATAGAATCGTTAAGGTTGGAAAAGACCCTTAAGATCATCGAGTCCAACCGTTAACCCAG